CGCAGGGCCATGTAGGTTTGGATTTTTTTTTCCTTAATAATAAAAAACCTTCATTTAAAAACTGCATTTTGTGTTTACTTGTGTTATCTTTGTCTAATATTTCAATTTGTTTGATGATCTGAAACATTTCAGTGTGACAAACATGCAAAAAAATAAGAAATCAGGAAGGAGGCAAACACTTCTTCACGCCACTGTACAGTACAAGACACGGCTACTCTGCTCTCAACATGCTGAACTCACTAATAGGTTTCTCACACTACAGTAGGCCAAAACAAAACGGGTGTCTAGCTCATATTGAGGCAATCAATAACAATAATAATGTTGTATTCTGTAACTGTAAATCTGTAAATTTCTCCAAGACATCTCTATGCTTCAAAGACGGGGCCAAGATAAGAATTTTTTAACTTACTGAAATCAGCTCAGTTAACTCCTCAATAAAACAGGCTGAGCATTTATATGTTCTTTTACAGTTGAAAGAATGGAAGCAGTTGTTTGTACAGTAGCTCAATCTGTGTAAGGGTGAAAACCTCCTAGCTAAGACGGCATTCCACCTCTGTTGCTACTAGTGGTGTGTGATCAGGTATGTCCTTAATTTTAAACTGCAGTATAGTTTTTCAGTTCAAACTATCTCTTTTAATAATGATCCAAACCAGGTCTAACTTTTTTTTGAAAAACGGAAAAGTAGACACCATAGAATGCTATTGTTACAGGCTGTTTTCTCTATTAGACTCAGATACAGTATAAAGATATTTGCATAAGTTTATTCGAAGCAGATTGAGACCTACAGTACATGTATAGTATAGTACATGTATCACCTGATGAATCTTGATCAGACAGACCTCTTGTACGGGCTATCTGTATAGCCTGTTACTGTACATTCTGGGTCTGACGGACTGCCTGGAGTCAAGGTAAAGGAACAATAAGCACATCCAAGGAAGGTGTTCCTTATTCTCACTCCCAGCTTTTCATTTCTTTTGCTTTCTCCTCTTTACAGTAGCTCTTATTCCTGTGCTCTTCCTTTCATCTTTACACGTCTGCATCTCACAGCCAAAAACAATGTGCATTTCGGTTTTTGACAGTTCAGTGTGGAATTAACTTTAAAATATCAGCATTACACCAACTGATAAAGACAAGTACCCATACTGATCACTTTCCTGTTCGATGTTTCTTGTCTAACGCAATTATTAAGACAAAGTCTTAAAGTCGCAATTATTAAGACAAAGACAAAGTCAATTATTAGACAATAAAGTCTAACAAAGTTATTAAGTAGGCTGATGATAAAGGGAACCTTTATCATCAGCCTACTTAATAACTTTGTTAGACGTTATTGTTATTTTCAATACATTTGTTGAAATCCAACCTTATTTAAACTCACTTATATAGCTATTTCTTTCCATCTTGTGATGTGTACCCTCACCCAGTCTGCATATACAGGTACTGTATTGTATATTCTGCTAGCATGTCGGTGTTTAATTTGAAAACACTTACCTGTTATGGAGGATCCAGGAACATACTGTACTGTAGAAAAAATTAAAATGAGAGGCCATTCAGTCCATCTAGTCATTTTAGTAGTTAGTAACTAATTAATCCAAGTATCTCATCCAGCCACCAGATTATTGATTTCAACAACATGGCTGTGTAGCTTGTTCCAGACTCCCACAGCATTTTGGATAAAGAAGTGTTTTAAATACACTTCCACATAGTTTCCACTTTCTCTGATTCCTCTGTTTCTTGGCTTTAGCAGGCTGAGATGAGAGAAAGAACAGGAAAGGACTAGTAAATAGGATTATTTCTCTGGCATATTAAAACTGCAGCTATGGTTTACCCACCAACGCTACAGGCTAAAACAACATTTAGTCATAGGGCCAAAAATTTAGCCTAGAAAGTAGTTACCAGCTGGCTGCCAGCCTGCTTCCTCAATACCCTCTCTCCACCCATTTATTCACACAGGTGCTTAGCTGAGTAACAAAGTATTTCTGCCAGCTATTATTGTTAAGAAGACAAAACAAAAGAAACAAAAGAAAGCAAAAGAAAAGATTTTATGTGTAGAAATGTAAAAATAATCAATTTACCCATATACCTTAAGGCACCAGGGGAGGTGGCCACCTGGTTAGTACTCTTTTTGAACTTTGAGGTGTTAGAGATTCTGTCACTCCTTGTACATTGCCTGGTAGTGTAGAATTTGACTATTTTTGGAATTGCTTTGCTACTCTTTCTCGTCTAAAGCTCTGTTCAGTTATTCTTATAGGAATGTTGTTTGGGATACAATGTGGCCCAGTAATGAAACTGCTTCTTACATATTTAACAGTGGAATTGTCCTTTGGGTTTACTCTATTTATACAATAGGCTCCCAGATGACCTCTTGAGGAAGGGGTGTGTGGTGACACACCCCATTGTCCTGTTCAGATGTAGTCGTTAAGAGTTACTGTATCTACCTGGCTTTAAATACAAGCTTTGATGTAAGAAGCTTCATAAAGAAAGTGTGCTTGAGATCCTGAATATGATTAAAGCAGATTTCACTATGGTCTTTACAACTTTACAGGCTGCACTAAACCATGGTATTTCCATTATAAAAGTCACGTAACCTCCTCACATTTTGTATATTTCATGATCACTACTTCATTTTTTCCAAAATACTGATAACAAAGTATAACCAGGTTTTTACATGATCTTTACATTATAATTCCCAGGTAGCAATGCATCTTGAGGTTTGTGGGTCTAGGTGATGTAAGTAAGTGATGTAAGGAGTAAGTTGTGTAGCTTTGCATGAGTGTAATGACCAATTGCACACTACATACTGTACTGTACTATAAATGTGGGCTCAGATGGAGACCTCATTTTGAAAGGGGTTGCATTTTTCATTTTTTCAAAAGTATCCTTACTACCGCTGTATAAATAGCACAGATTTAAAATATCAGTAGTTCTAGGAGAGTTAAAAATTATACATCAAACTGTTTGGGGCTGCTGCATTGATAATTTGATTTGTACTCATTTCCTGGGTCTTTGGCATTTAACTTTGCCTTCAGATAAATGTCTAACTCGTTTATCATGATTATTGTATTGCAAGTGATTCTTAAGGCAGATTAAAGTCAGTTTTCTTAATTGACCTTAATCTGAATGACTGGATGTTATTTTATATCATTTTGGATAGTATTACCTATCTTGAAGTATAATTCCTCACCTTATTAGTCATATAGTTGCTCTTTTGACCTTACGTTATTTGGAAAGAATAGTTATTTCTTAGTCTTAGAAATATATTTTATAAGAGAACCAGTTTAGACTCCTAAGCAAGACTTGGTTAAGGGATGTGAGAATGGACAGAATTTTAAGATATTTACAGTGACCTGCAAAAGTATTAAAACCCTAAGGTATTCTATTTTTGAAACTACAAAATGATACATACACATTTTTTAAATATTTTATTAAAAATTGGAATGCTCAAACTGAAGACATCTATGAGTAGGATAAGTTACAGTAAATGTCAACAAAAACTAAAGTGTAAAAAGACCATCAATATTTGGTAGAAGCAACTTCGGCAGGAATTGTAGCCACAAAAGTCCCCATCGCCTTTTCGATTGCCTTTTTGGTTCAGTTTGTGGCCGTTTTCCTTGACAGATTTTATCAAGCTCTCCAGTTGCTAGAGGAATGCTTATGGACATTGGTTTAAAGTCTTTCCACAAATTCCCAGTTGGATCCAAGTCAGGATTTTGAGGGCCACTCAAGGACATTTTTATTCCGTCTAATTCTTAAGCCACTCCATCCTGTTGAAAAATGACGTTTTGTCCAAGTTTGAGATATTTAGCAAGCTAAAGCAGCTTTTCCTGTAGGATTGACCTGAATTTTTCTTCATTTGTTTTATCCTTAGTCCTGCCCAGCTTCTCAGTCCCTGCTAATAAGAAGCAGAACAATAACATAATGTGGCTGAAACCATGTTTGACAGTAGGGATGGTGTTTTGACTGAGTTATGTACTGTGTTTCTTGATTTAGACCATACATTTCCAATGCCGCATAACAGTACCAATTGTATGCTTTGTTTCTAACAGGCATGCAGGATTTGAGATGTTTTTTCAGCAATGTCTTCCTTCTTTCCACTCAGCCATATATGCCAGCCTTGTCTCATGGACAATTTCTTCTATCTCAGACATTCTCTTTCAGAGTTGCTGTTGGCTTTATGGTGGTATTAATCAGTGTTCTCCCTGCCTGGCTGCTTAGATTGGAAGGTAACCATGAACTACGCAGCATCTGGTGCCTTTCACTTCCAAGTCATTGACATATTAATGGTCTTTCAAATATTTTTATCCCTTTCTCTTGATCTCTGCCTCAATAAAACTTTGAGTCCTTTAAATCCTCTACCTGTCAGAAGAACATTAGAGAGGCAAATAAATGTATGGAATATATTGAGACAGATGTCTTTATTACAAAATCATGGGATCTATACAGTCAGAGACCCCTCAGATAATTATGTGGGTAAGGTCATTTTGTGCACCTAATTTAATTTAGCAAAGAATATGGAAAGGTGCCATCGTGACTTTTCCCTTTTTATTTCATATTATCTGTTTACTTCTTTTCTTTTTCATTTGTATAATGAATGTGTGGAGTAGGTTGTGTGTAAATAACAGAATAATACCTGTCTCTGTAATTGCTACTTCAGAGTGTTATTATTGCAAGATTTGAAGCAGCAGAACATGAAAACTGTGCAGAAGTCTGAATATTGTTCTTATTATTGAATACTGAAAAATATTGAATAATTGTGTAATTGCACTGGCAATCAAATTGTGATTTCTGAAAAGGCGAGCTTGGGTTAATAGGAAGCCAATGAAATCTGAGTCCTACCATATGTTCTGACATTTCCTTGCCCAGTTTTATTCCTCCAGTGGTTTCACAGCATCTGCAATTCACCTGTTGACTTTCCGTTTCAAGATCAGATTTAAAATATTGGATTTACGTGTGAACTAAAGAATCATAACTGAAATGTGTTGAAATGTTTTTTCTCTTTTTAGGGGGATAACTCCTATGTAAAGGACCGTTGGTGTGTGTTTGATGGCATCATGGTTTTTTGTCTTTGGGTTTCTTTGGTACTACAGGTAATTAAAAATATTGATAATTTGTTTCCTGGCTTTGTGGCTGTGAACTGTTTAACTGATTGGACAATTGTTTCTATTCCATTGTTTTTGTTAGGTGTTTGAAATAGCAGAGCTGGTCGACCAGATGTCACCTTGGGGAATGCTGAGAATACCAAGAGCCCTTATAATGATTAGAGCTTTCCGAATTTACTTCAGATTTGAGCTGCCGCGCACGAGAATTACAAATATTTTGAAGTAAGATAGATGTTTCTTGAAATTCTAATGTGTTTATTTAAAAAATACAATTCCTTGTAAAAAAATTCAGTCTCTTGCTCAGTTTACACATTTCCCTGTTATTTTAGGCACTAACCACTCCACACACGCTCTGCAAAAAAAAAAAACAGGAAAAATAGATCATTAATATTGGGAAGTGTTAATTCATTAATTAACTCAGGTGAATTAATGAAAAAAACTCTCTTATATTACCTTACTGAGCCACACAATTAGTTAGATTACCTCTATCTTTGGAAAATGTAGGTTATCATGATTTCAGAATAAATATATTGTATCTGTCTCTATAAGGTCCCCATGAAGACCAAGGAGCAATAACTCACGGATAAATGTTTAAAAAGCCACAAACGAAGAGAAAAGGGTAAACATTTCAAAGACCCTTAATATTGCTTTAATCATGGTGAAGCTAATCATAAAGAAGTAGAAAGTACCTAAACACTGCCTAAATCAGGCTATTCCTAGCTACAGTAAGTAAGGAAGCCACTGTGAGGCCAAAAGGTCTTTCAAAGAACTACAAAGTTCAGTAGCTGGGGCATGAGTAAACATCAAGGTGTCAACAGTATTTCTGTCACTTCATTGAAGGGACTGCATGTAACTGAAGAAAAAAAAACACCTACAAAACACCTACATGAATCTGCAAACATGTATGCAAAGGGGATTTGTGATCTGACAGGACAAAATTGGCTATTTTTAATTTAAATTCAACGCATTACTGTACATCACACATAAACCCAACATACAGTAGTACAGTACATCACTAAGTAAACACTCTCTGTAAGTAAAAGGATGGTGGCAAACTTACAGTATGTAATAGTCCTGCTTCTTGTCAGCAAGGAATAGGAAACCCTTCAAGACACGGGGGAGCATAGATGGAACAAAGCACTGGCAAATCGTAGAGGAAAACTGCTTCAGATCTAAAACTGGGATGAGAATTTCACCTTTCAGCAGGAGAATAAGAATTTAAATGTCATTGAGTGGGCCTGTCTTGGATCGTGTGGAAAATCTCTGGAAACATTTGAAAATTCATATATCTTGACTTCAGTCCTGTGGAAAATCTCTGGAAACATTTGAAAACTACAATCCATAATTGATCCCCAAGCAACTTGAGAGCTTGACCAAATCTGCCAAGATGAATGGGCAAAAATTGAACCAAGCCAGTATGCAAAGCTGGGAGAGACTTACCCTAGTTAAACTGTATTTGTTGCCAACCATTTTTCAACTAAATGTTGAATCACGTTGGAATATCCTGATTGCATACTGTAGGTATTTTGTTTATTTCTCTTAAGTTTTTGCTGACATTTGCTGTAAATTCTTACCCTAGAAATCTTCAGTATGAACATTTAGGTTTTGAATAAATACATTTAAAACACTGTGTAGAGTATGTATCTTTTTGTAATTTCACAACATGGGACACAATAGGGAGGATCTGAATTGTTTGTGAAATCAGTATATGACTTTGTGATTGTGGAAATTGATTTGCTGTTCTGTTTCTCACCTTAGGCGCTCTGGAGAACAGATCTGGAGTGTGTCCATATTCCTGCTTTTCTTCCTTCTCCTGTATGGAATTCTCGGAGTTCAGATGTTTGGAACATTTACTTACCATTGTGTGACCAATGATACACAGCCAGGGTAAATTATAGTTATCTTTTCTTCTTGCAGCAAATCACCCCCCCCCCAAACAACTTGACATGACCCTCACAAACATCCATGACATTAATTTTTCAAACCGGCAAGAAAAAAACAAGAATTACAAAGTATGAGTCAGGTGGACATCTGTTAACTGAAATAACCCCTTTTGCCCTTTAAGATACTGTCACGCCCTCTGCAGCCAGAGGGCGCTGCTTCTCTGTCCTGTCCCTAGTTTCCGGTCTGCTGTCCTTCCTGTCCCTCTTTTCCTTGGGCTATATATTTCCGGGACCCGCCTATCACCAGGGCGCCCCACGTCCGCTCCCTGAGGGCATAGGTTTCTATACGGCATTCCTGAACTCTTTGCACTAATGAGCCCGGGCCTTTTTCCTGTCTCGCCGCTACGCATATGGGTCTTTTTCTGCTCTCCTGCTCTCCACTGTTAGTCCCTTTGGACGTCCATGACAGATACCAGTTGAGTCTAGATGTGGAGAGAAAAAACCGCCTCGGTTACATAATCAACATTTTGTCATAGGTTCATTCTGAGAGCCTTGACTATTTCTTTGCAATCAGCAGTGGACAGACAGCAAACTAGATTTTCTTTCTGAGTTTTGTCTACAACAGCATAGCTGGAACGTTTTAGACCTACAGAATTTCAAAATGTTCTGAGGATATGAATGGACAGAATATCCACAGGGGCCTCTCTTTGCAGATTTGTATCCTTTGTGGACAGTGTAAGACCCATAAGTTTAAACTACTGTACATGATCATGTATTTTTATTTAAATATATGATTTTTTAAATGATTTAAAACAGAAAACAGGAGGCATTTATTATACAAAGGGTTTGGGAGAGCCAGCCAATCAGCCATGGTGTTGAAACTGGTTTCTTTCAAGAAGTATATGGATGAGATCCTCAGATTACCTACTAAAGTAATAACACACAGGCTGAGTGGCCTCCTCTCGTTTATTAAGCTTTCTTATATTATCATCAGTGAAACACATGAAGAAATCAGGACTTGCTTGTAAACTTTAAATTAAACCTTACGTGTTGGTCCTTGGAACAAGTTTTTAAAGTGAGCTGAAGCACATCAGTGCGGGTGCATTCAGTGTTAACTGTTTATAATGCCACTGCCTTCCTGTAATTGACATTTAAAGGCCATAGACGATATACAGTAGTGCTTCTCAAATTTGCTAAAAATGTTAATGGTTTGTACATTGATCACAATCCTTTAGCTAAAAATGTCCATACTTTGAATTTTGCCAATGAGAAAGATCGACAATGGGACAGTTACTTTTATGTCAGGAACCATGAAAAATGTGGTAACACTGTTAACTAAAAATGTACTGGTTTTGTTGCCAACTTTTGTACTGGTACTAAAATGCCAGACCACGAATACAGTTTCTCATCTGTATATCATCAGTCTGGTTTAGTACTCTGTGTGGGTTAAAATGTTTGAAGGTACAGTATATTATTCATTCATGAAGTCAAAACACCTTGAATAAGAACATTGTCCAAATTATTGCTCTTGATGTTGCAAGGGTACGTGGCTGTGGTTTTGTGTAATTGTGTGATTGTAATCTGAGCATTTGGCCCATTAGACAATTTGGATTGGTTTCTCAGATGTACAGTACAGTTAGATTACTAACTTTGTGGTCTTTATATTTTAGTATGATTTACAAGAAACTTGCAGAATTAAAATAACTATTGTATGAAATGGCTGCTTTCTACTAAAACCCATGGGGTGACTGATTTCTTTGCTTTAAAAAAAAACTCCCGATGTTGTGCTGTGTTGTAGTGTTAAAGAACATAAGAAAATTGAAATAACAAAGGACCAAGTCTAAAATCTAAATTTACAGAGTGTTCTTACAGTCACCAATGCTGTGTGTACTATGGAGGCCATTGTCTGTGATGTCTTTTAGAAAAGCAGATAAAACGGTAGGTAGGTAATTGGTAGGTAGGTAATTGATTTAAGCGACTAAGATAAATTATGATTTGGGAACGAATTAAAGAAATATGTACTGTATGTACTCACAAAAGTGCTTTAATAAGGTACAAAACAGTCTGTTAAGTGGGAATGCATTTGACTTTTTAACCTGACATAAAAGTATTTAAAACGAATGTTCATAATGTCTTTTTTTGATTATTCAGGTTATGGTCCAGCTCTGCCTGCATTCCACAGATTAGGATTCCCTATTGATTCTTCTCTCTGCCATCATGAAATGAAGGAAATCATCACCTAATTAAAATGTGCAAATGTGTCTTAACAAAAGTTATTAATGCCATTTGCAAATCCAGGTTAAATTCAGATTGAAGGACATTGGTAAAAATACCTTTGGGCATTTTATACTCCAGCTGGAAGTATAAAGGCTGCAAAGAGGAAAATATTTAACATTTGTACCTTGACGGGCTGCATGAAGGGTTGTGTCAAGCAAAACAGTGTGAGAAATTTGCTCTTTAGATGAACTATCTGGGGGAAGCAGCATTTCTAATCATAATAATTAACATTTCTGTACTTTTTTCAGGAATGCGTTGTTAATGATTACTTTTTTTACAGAGATGTCTGTCTTTATGAAATAGGAGAAAAAAATACAGTGAATGCTTTCCTGCCAGGGAGAAGATTATAGACATTGACCCTTTTCTGCTGTCATTTTGATTTCAGCACCTGTCACTTTACATTTATACAAATTGCAGGAAGTGTTTCAATTAGAGTCAATTAGAACATTTTCTTTTCTTATAGAAGTTGACAAAGATAAAAGGTTTTCTTTTGTGTAGGACTGAAAAATGACTGCATAATGCACCTTTTTTCAATAATGTTGCCAGCTTTTTGTGTGGATGTTGATTAAGTCAATTTTGGATTTCCAGTAATGTTAGAAGTATGAACTTTATCCATGACAGTGTACTCAAACCAACTGAAAGTAAAGTATGAGAAGACTAGGGTATTCATTTATTTGTGCTTTACCCAATATTTAGTCAGGATGAGGTCATGCATCATTTGAAGTCATACACACCTGAAGAATGCTCCACGGCCGAAACGTTGTGTTTTCTTTCTTCTTTTTTTCAGCAAGGAATAAACCTATTACTTGTTCCAAAGCTGTATGATGTTTTATTATCAGGTCTCAGAGATATGCTTTAATTGGATACACAGGTTGAAAATACTATTAACAAAACTACATTTGTCATCTTTGGACAGTTACATCTCAAAACAAATACATTTCCCCCCTAAATTCCCTGGATTGAAAAGCCTACTCAAGCTTCTGTCTCAAAAGGTTCAAGGACCAAAGTGTGTTCCCAAATGAAGGGGATTACTATATTTCAAATTCAATAAAAATGTTTTACTTTTATTCCATATTTATTCCAAATTTTAAAAATAACTTAAAAAAAGATTAATGAATGTAATAAATATCATCAGTGGTATTTCATGTTAGAGCTGAGAATAAGAATCACATTACTATGATATTAGCAGACTTGTAAACTTTTATTTTCTGTTTCATTTATCATATCTGTTCCGTAAAACCTGCAGATTTCTTTTATATAAGTGGGAGATTATCAATCAGAAAATAATTAAAGACACTTTGACTCATCAGAGTGCCTTCCATCGGTCTCTTTGATACAGCAATAAATTATCCACTTTCATTCCAACACACTAATAATCAACTGGAAAGAGTGTCTAGCTTACCGCTTTGAAGACATTAATTTTCATTAGAGACATTAAACAGCACTTAGAGTCACACCTGTGTCCAGGGAGAGAGGGAAGTGAGAGAAGGAGAGAGCAAGGATTGTGATGGATTGAGGGAGCAAGAGAGGAAGGGAGAGAAAGGACAACAGATGAAGAGTGAAAGAGTGTGTTGTGTTGGGTGAAAAAAACATTGCCGAAACAGGTGGTGATGCAGGAGAATTTATTTTTGTGTGTTTTGTTGTTCAGCATTATTGGCAAGAGTTATTCTTTAAAGCAACAGAGTGTACTGTATTAATTATAGAATGTAAAACACTTCACGAAATCATTATAGGCTTTCGTAGACTCTTGGAACATTTCAAAATCTAATTAAACATTTAAAAAATATTTTTATGTTGATCTATTTATGATGTTACACAGTGATAACAGTTCATAGATTGGTTAAATTTGTTGATCACCGTGGCCTCTTTATTATGGAAAGTTATTTTTAAGAACATTACTCAGCCCCACATCCTCCGGAGGTCTTGGTTTTGTCTATAATATCTTCTGTCAGCACCCTGTTTTAAAATGTTTGTTTCCATCTCTGAGAGCGAGGGTTCCAGATGAAACCCTTCAGCGCTTTGCTGGCATTGGCTAATCAATCACAGAGTCTCATTAAGCTGTATCTTCTATGTTCTTCAAGATTAGCTTTAATGTGTCTAATGGATGTCCCTTTGTGTCAAAGAAGCAGATTAGATTTTCAGTCCTGTATATAGATGTATTTAGTGTCCACTTATGACTCAGAGTATTTGACTTTCTCTGTGTTGGCTTTGTCAATACCTTTGAGGATTTTGGATATCTGAGTTTAAACTTTTGTGATCTAGTGTTTCAAGACCAAAGACAATCAATTCCCTTAAAAGGGTTATTTGTAAGAACCTTAAAAGGCCATTGCTTTGGTTCTCTTATTTTAATAAATTAAAGTCATAAACTTGAATCTATAAAGCTGCACTTTACAAACCTCTGCCAAAATAAAATAAGCACCTCTCAAAGTGGTGGTCATTTTTCATACAAATACTCTAGGGCCAATGTAAATTGTTTCACATTTTGCTGTTAAAATGCATTTTATTCTACTCAAGGCCTCTTATTTCAATAAAGCAGGACTGTACCTTAATGTCCAAATATATGTGGCTCATTGTGAATCTATAATCTTCTATTTTATACTGTAGCACCATATGGTTAATGTATTTTTGTATTATTATTTATATTCAAGGTTTACACTGTTTACCAGAAAATAGAAAATAACATATTTCACAAAATATAAAATATGATTTACAAAAAGTTCAAATTTTGATTAAATTGGACACAATTAGAGAAGATGTTAATAGGTGTCTAAAGTAATTAAACTCTTGTCTCTCTAAGTTTTGATGTACAAAAATCACGTCATTTGGCACTGAACTTTCAGATAAGTGACAAAAAATGATAAAAACTCTTTTTATGTGTGGAGTAGAGTTCTGTGGGAGCTTTTTGAGCTTTATTGTATCCTTGAGAATAAATGTGCCCTTTTTAACACAAACTGCTTTACATGTTACTCTTATTTGTCTTTTATTTGCTTTTATGTTTATTTTCCTTTGATGAAGGATAAGTAAAAAAATAAAAAGCACCAGGCATGATGCCCAAACATGAGTATTAAATTGGATTTCTCACCAATATGCATATCAAGAAGCTTTAACTAAATTCAGGTTTGTATTGGTACTGTATGACAAATTATCTGATCTTATCAGTAGGCATTGGGATATCTGGATCAGAACCTGAAATATATTGAAATTCACTTTTAAACCTTATAGATTTGTTTCTAAATCAAGAACATCATCAGCAACAGAATAAAACTTATTGCATTCCGTACATTAACTCCTGATATTGTTTTTTAGTTGATATTTTTGTTGATGTAACAATTTGCATGTACTTTCTTAGGAGATTTACTGTAAATGTGCTTTGGTGTATTTCTCTGAAAAGCTCAGTATAAATGTGTTATGGCTTAGAAAGGCAATTCAAGTACACTACATTGACCAAGGGGAATTTAGTGCTAGAGATAAAGGGAAATAGTGATTTAATTACTGAATCTAGGAGCCCTTCTAAATATTAGTCCAAAAAAGCATTTATAATTATTGAAAGGACTTACCCATTATTTTCATTGAATTAGCTCTTTATCTTTTGCTGCAGTGAAATCCTTATTTAATAGTGAAAAACTCGAATTGATTGACACATTTTGTCTTTCAGGAATGTAACCTGGAATAATTTAGCGATTCCGGATACGCACTGCTCACCTGATGGAGAAGGCTACCAGTGCCCAATGGGATTTAAATGCATGGACCTTGAAGATCTCGGTCTCAGTAGACAAGAGCTGGGTTACAGTGGTTTCAATGAGATAGGTTTGTAATACACATCCACTAAATTCTTCCTAGCATCCTTGTTAAGCATTTTTTATTTTCCTTTCAAGGTACAGTTTAATAAAATTTTGATTGAAACATGTATACAACATTTAAAATATCATTTCAGAAGGATGATATTATATCAGGTGATAATCACAGTGGCCAACCAGGGTTTTGTAGTTAACTGTAAGTCACCACACATTAGACAGCAGCTAGAGCCAAATAAACCATTTTCCTTACATTAACAATGCAACCATTGTCCAACTACAATGTTTAGTTGGCTATGGCTTTCTATTAAAGGTTTCAAAGGTCTCATTAACAAAACAAATAATTACAAAATAGCTCAGCTGTGATGTACAATATCTCAGTTTATCTTTACTGGAGTATTCTGTGGGCTTGATTTAGTAAAGTAAATCGCAATAATTTTAAATGTTATAAAGACCCAAATGTAGGGGGATAGTTTGTGGTTTCGGTGTTTAGCATATCAATGAATGTTATAATTTCTATTTGAACTTTTATTAAAGGTTTTGTTTTGATTTCTAATGGATTTAATACTTTTTTTCCATTTTTTTTTTCCAAATACAAAATACTTAGATTTTTCTTCTAGGACATTTACTATTTTCTGAACAATAATGGCATTTTAGACAAACACAGCTTAAAAATGGTCATGCCTACAGTGATAACAGCATAATAGGAAAAAGCCCATGCTATGATAAAACCAAAGTGAAAATCTGATGTTCATGTGAACATTGTCCATAGTGGTATCTGACTGATTGTTTAATACTTTCCTATATCTCAAATATGTTGTGTCTATAAACATGTTGTCATTTTTTATACACTATTAAGTCACTATTTTTTTAAATATTGCTCCAAGCTTTATGGAGTTCCAACAAAATCCTGTTTCCCAGTATGTTAGCTTTGAAGATATGGAGTTAATCAATTTCCACATTTAAGCATGTGACGCTAGCGTAGTTGAAACTAATGCGGACAGATTGGTGAGTGACAGTCTCAAATCTTTACCTTTGCTAAAAGCTTCCTTCAGAACACAAATTCCCTGCATCCCTCGGAATTAAATGTTAGCCCTAACAAGCTCACATTTGTAAAAAAAAATGGTTCAAGCTGTTAAGCAGATCATTACTTCTCATAGAGCATGTTAATGGGAATACTACTCTCTTTTAAAGCAAACAACTTCTTCCTTTGTGTGTCTATACTGTATACTGTATACTGTATACTGTATACTGTATACAGTATAAGAAAGAACAAAGCACAGTCAAGTGTGAAAAATACAATAAAATCTATTCATATGCTTTTTAGTGTGTGTTGACAAAAACATGGGGAAATAGAAGAATCCTAAAAATGAACCTGAACCATAAGAATGTGGTGGAGATTGACTAATGGACTAAGGTTGGGTCCTAAGCTCGTATAGTTATTATTGGCATTATTTTCATTACCCCATTTGTATAGACATTTCTATCCACTGGGTTGTGAAAGCTTGTATTATTTTTGCTGTTGTCTATCAATTGCTTTTTTATTCAAATCCATCCACTTATTTATTTTAATTTGTAATTACATTATTTTAATACATGAGTGATAGAATACACGAGTACTGTACCACACTCTCTGGTAGAATTTCTGTCAGTTTCTATTATAATTCTAGGTTTATACAATCAGTTGATTTTATAATAATCAGCTGATATAGAGAGGCTATGGCTTTGAGGGCTACCTACTGTATGTTGATTTTTACTCTATTAAAAATATGTAGGGGGTGAGGAGGCCATTTAGCTTATGGTTGTTTTAGAATCTGATAAAAGGATGTATTCAAAGCTTTTCCTCAATGATTCCGGTGAATAACCTTACAGATATGGTAATTTGTTCAGTACAATCACTCATTAGCACTTGCATTCAAAATGAGTGGATGGAGTTTAATTATTCATTGGTATTAATGCACTGAAACATGTATTCCTTGCAATCTCACTAATCCTAAATATAGCAGTATCTACAGTTCATACTGTAAGCATTGAGCTTTGACTAGGCTAAAAGCATTTTTTCCTGCCTTCTACCTTACCTCAGAAGGGCAGTGAGCGAAGCACATCTGCTTCAGTCTGATCCAGTGATAGCCTCTTTTCCTTCTTAAATTGCTTCCTTTGTATATTTTTGATTACTATGAGGAGCCAGCCCTTACCAAAAAAATGTAATTTAGAATTTCATATCATGGCATGCTGGGTTTAAAGAAGAATAGCTGAGGAGAGAAAGAGTCAAGGTTGCAGTTGAAGTCTGTATACATTTAAAAAAAAAACAATGCATATATTATAGAGTGATATACTGCGTGTGTGTATTTTACATTTATGCCTGTGTGGGTGATTTGACTTAGTGCCGTAATGAACTGGTTTACTATTTAGAAATGGAGGAACACAACCTGTTTAAAGTATTAGAAAATAATAATTTTGATGATCTACTGTATAAGATTCCCTTCGCTCATAACAATAATCAAACTCAGCAAGGATAGTGAAACTCTCTAAAAAAGTTATTTCGTAGTTGCCCAGCATTTTCTTCAGCTATTTCAACATAAGTGAGTTTTTAATGAGAGCATTTTGTCATAGCACAATGAAACTGAGCCCTGAGGGGAAAAAACACATTTCATATTGAGAGTAATCACTGTGAGCGACAAAAAATCTCAGACCTTGATTCAAGAAAGGTTCTCAAACTTTTCGATATGTGAAATGAATAATTGTTTTACAGCTTTATTTAAAATATGTTTGTTCTTGCTTTGTGGTTTCTTTTTCACTGGAATATTATTTTTATTTTCTTTTTATAGTATTTGGGATATATTTGCTGGTGCATATGAAATAGAAAATAGCAGATAATCATATAAGAAATTAGACAAAGTGTCATGATAAAGGTTGGATTAGTTGGAAAGTAGTGTGTGGAATTATTTGTAACTGAGAAGGACTTTGATGATCCATGACATTCTGATAGATGGTATTTTTCTATAAAATATTTTTCAGTTGTTTTTTTGAGTTACACCCTGCTGTAGTGTGTTTTTGAGAAAACCTCATCAAGGTATTTAAAATCCACATAAGCACTGGCAAGGTCAACATCATGAATTTCTTCAGAATAAAGCACAAGCTAGAAAGTTACGGGAATCTGTAACAGGCTCCACAGCCAAATTACTGAAGCCGATACCCTGGTTTCTTTTTATGAAAAGGTGTGCTGAGATCCTTGGGTAGAAGCTCCTGTAACTTCTACCGAACAGACTAAATGAGATGAGTGGTGCCATCTGATTTTTAAGACTTCTTAAGTTCTAACAATAGTGTCACCTCAGACTTCAGGTTGGAACCAGCAATGGCAGTATATCAATTAAGCCAATTAAGCAAAAACCTCTTCTTTATAAAAGTCACAGTATTTTTACATTCTTCAGCCTTCAGTCAGCAACTTGATTCAATAATTATAGGTGCATTATCTGTCAGCCACGATTTACCAAACCATAGTCAATGAATGTTATGTACAGTTACTGAACAAGCAGATATAGATGACTGTGGGCCCTTTAAATAACCACTTGTCTGTGATAGAAAAAAACAGAAACCCTTCTGTAATGATCATCTTGAGAGAAGAATTGACAAGACTGAGTTGTCACAATAATATAACATTAAAAAAACGGGCTTTCACTTGTGCTGAGTAAATATGCAGCAGTATTGGAATTATAGACATTCACATTATTTACATTGCTCTACGCTTTCTGGAAAAGAATGTTCAATTGTCCCTCAGAAGTAGATGGTTGATGATTGAAGAATGGCAGTTTAAAATTAAGAGGATTGTGGGAGGCAAGCAGCTTAGTTGGAACCTGAGGGACAGTTATGACAATTGTGCCATGCACAGTATTAGACAATGACAATTGGACAATAAATGTATCACAGTTGGGAGAGAAATAAGAAGGGCTGATTGGCTGAGTGTCTCTGAGACCAGCTTGCTAAGCTTGAGATGAGCTGCTGTTTATTCTAAAATGTATCATACTTAAACATCTGTAGGGCTTTCCGTGACTATTTCAAAAGAATAATTAATTTACTTTTTCATTGACCTACAGGACTGCACCATCCATTAGACTGCTGTCAGGACCCATGAACAAAATAGGGTTCAGTGTATCATAACACATCCTCCTAATTGCCAGGCAATAATGTTGAACTTGGAAGAAGTGTTGAATATCTCTTTCCTTTTAAATATTTTAAAGTTTTGTTCAACAAAAGAAGATGTTAAACAACAAATCAAAACATTTGTAGTTTATAATGTACAGTAGATTTATAATAATGCTGCAGTGCCCTGGCAGAATTAAATGAGTTTCCTTTTCTATATATACTTACATAGAGAATATATTTGGGCTGGTGGTGCAAGTGTGGTATCACTTGCTTGTTAAATGTGCTATGTGGGATTGAAATAGGAAAGACTGTGGTTCAGTATTACTACATACAGTATTTGACAAATGAGGTAGTTTTGGGGACACGGGGGAGGGCAAATCTGATGATACAGACATGAACCCACACAACATTTTACTAATGTGAATATCTGAAAATGGTGTCTTTACTGCCTATTTGTTTTAATTCCTGCTTTAAAGCCTGTTCTGTGTATTTCTAGAATTATGGGGAACCAAGATTTGCTTACCTACAGTATATTACATAACCTATTGTACTTGTACTTAAATTATTTTCTTTATTTAGTTTTGCTTTTCTATTTACTGTACCATTAATTAAGTTCTTGACTATAATATAAGGAATACAGAATTACACAAATATTCTGTGCAATTGACAATAACAGTACAGTTATTGATAACTGGAAGTTGGATTTCAAGTCTATAAAATGAATGATGCATCTGTAAATAAATGCCTATCCTGTAGGTTAGATTAACTGAAAAAGCACTTACTTGTAAAAGCACCTGAAGGTTTTAAACTTACAAGCATTTTTTTACACTGCAAACAGCATTTGCTGTACTGGGTTAATGAAAAAAAAAATCCTAGCCAATCTTCAGTAAAAAAAATAACATTGAAAATTCACAAGGACAGAATGAGAGATGATCAAGTTCAATTTCCAGGAGCAAACAAATTAAAAAGCAGCATGGCTTGGTACCTGTACTGAAAAGCATGCCATGTTAAGTCTTCTATTTTGTTTTTTAAACAGCAGGAAGGATGGCAAATGTTTAATCCTACATGTGTTCTTTTATGTTTATAAAGGTACCAGTATATTTACAGTTTATGAAGCAGCTTCCCAAGAGGGCTGGGTGTTCCTCATGTACAGAGCGATTGACAGCTTTCCTCGCTGGCGCTCCTACTTCTATTTCATCACTCTTATCTTCTTCCTCGCTTGGCTGGTTAAGGTAGAGTGAATTTTCTTTGGGATGAACTAGTGATGAAAAAAAAGTTAATGTGCTTCCAGTGTCTCTTCAGGTTCCAGCTTATGTGGGACTATAAACCTGCCAATACTTGATGTCTTGGCTAACATTGCAGTTTTGAAGTTTGTGCCAGGCAGATATACTGTAGTTTGTTCCTTGTTATTTACATCTGCACAGTTTGTTTGTGTAGAACAAAAACACTCCAAAATAGAACAAGAAAGTGTGTTCTCGGATTCTTATTGTTTTTCATATCTTAGCATTTTTCAACCAGGCTGACAAGTACCAAAAAAGAACCTTCTGGAGATTTCGCCAACAGACCCTTTTCAAGAGTATCTTAACCGTAGGTTTATATAACCTAAAAGTTCCAGAATTTTAACATGCTGCAGATAAAAGCCCTGTGCAGTCGCACATTCAAGGAAAGGAGTTTCAACCATTGTGCGTCATAGTCTTATTAATGCAATTTTCTATTGTTCTGACATAAAACACAATAAAATGCCAAGCACATGAAATAGAAATGGGAGTTTTACATCAGTAATCATTTTTCTTTTCTATTTATGGTAATGGTTTGCTGTGATGTAACCATGTAAAGTTATGCAAACAGGGTATCACAGAGCTTTTGTGATATTGTGCTCATTACTACTTTCCTCTGCTTTCCTCAGAATGTGTTCATTGCAGTTATAATTGAGACCTTTGCTGAAATCAGGGTACAGTTCCAGCAGATGTGGGGGTCCAGGAGCAGTACCACTTCAACAGCTACTACTCAGGTACAGTTCATGACAACTGATGACACACTATGCAAGCCTTTTATTTAGAATCACCCAACTATGTTTGTGATGCACGCACAATTTGGTTTTTCAACTGGTTTTACAACCAGGATTTGGCAATGCAGGTCAGCGCGGGGAGTCCAGCGGTGAATAGAGGTGAGGCGCATCCCTCACCAACAGTACAGCAAGCCCGCAAGTGCCTGGAGGTCACAGGGACCGCTGTATTTCTGAGAGCAGAGGAAGGCTTGGCTGACTAATCCTACAGTACCCATCTGCTGGCAGCGCTCAGCCAGTTAGGAATCCCTGTCGTAGTCAGCTAGAGATGTGACCCAGGCTCAATCCCACATGGCCTGGATCATACTGTAGAAATCAGCCTGTGGTCAAGTGAAACCCTTAACGGGCTGAACCATTGGGAAGCCTAGGTTTTTGTTTTAAGATCACAAATACAGTAGGTATTTCTTTAGAAGTTAGCATGCATACAGTACATTGAAATTGAAAATGATGCATTTTAAGACATTGCAAAGCAGTAGCAATACCGGTCCTCAAGGTACCCTTGTGCCTTCTGGTTTTCATTCTGTGGTCTCAGTCATTTAAGACCATTTAAAGATTAAAGAACCATTAATTGTGTCATTTGATTAATTTGAACTATTTTCTGCTCTCAAAACCTAGTCTCAGAAACAATCCCATGTTAGAGATGCTTCCCTGTAACATTCTACACAGCTCTTACTGTTGACCAGTTAGTGATAAGCAGACACTGGTAGAAATAATACTGCAACACCCACTGATTAATTTAGAGAGCTGAAACCCTGCATTTGGGGCACGTTTATAATTTTGTTACTCTATTTGTGGTTCAATTTAAGGGCAAAATAACAAGGCTCACTTAGAATGAAAACCAGAAGAAAAGCAAATAATTCAGGCCCAAGGCTGGGAAACACAGATCTAAAATACAGATTTATAGAAGTGTTTTTATAAAAAGAAATGTTTATTTATTATTATAGTTAATATAACAATCTTGGAATTCCCACATGCTCATTATAAGAGTGCCTGACTAATATGGTTCTTTAAAAATGTGCCACCATGGGTCATCGTATTTTTCTCAATAATGGCACTGTTCATCAAGTGTTATTCATCCTTTGACCTTGCCTGGTGTGTTGCAAAGTTTGCTTTCCAGAAACATAGAGCATCAATGGCAGTCCGTTGATTCTTTTTGGCTGTGTTGAAGTTGAAATCACTGTCCTTTCACAGTGAATGCTACTGGAGTATAGCCTCAACTTAAATTAACTTTGGCCGATTGTCAGGAAGCCATCCTAGACTGTGTCTGGATGAGGGTGCAGCAAATGGCTTCTAGCAGATGGCAGAGAGTGAATCACAGCAGAGCACTGAAGGATGACTGTTGAAGACCAAGTGACAGAAACAAGGGACGACTGTGCCAGACAGTGAGTGATGTGGCAATGGCCCCTCTAACTTCAAGGTATATTCCCCTGTGCTGGAAACTATTTAGAACAGACCTGACTCTCAAACAGAAACAGGAAAGAAAAACATCATTGTAAAATGGCAAGTCTTCTCGGCTAAAATTAATGGCTTTATCTACTGGCAAAAAGTACATATAGTTTGTATAAGCTTTTATACTTCATAGAGAAATATTGTATAGTTTTTACGCCATACCACCCACCAAGATGGCAGGGGCGGGCCAGGAGCTGTTCCGGACCCAGGGGCAAAAGCGTCACAGTCCAGGGATAGTAGCCGGTACCCAGAAGCTACTGCGCTTCACTGAACCAAGTGCAGGCAGGGTAACCAGGGACAGAGCAGGGCTGGTTGGTCTTTATCTGGAGCAGGGCAGATAAGGGCACATAACCTCGTCGTGGTCCATCAGACGGAGCACCAGGTATCGGGCTGAGCAGAGATCTCGTGATCTTCAGAGACTTGGCCAAGCGCGCACTGTCAGGGTGGACTGGGGAGGTGCATCAGGGACCACTGAGGTCTGGGTCTTTTTTCCCAGGGGCAGGACAGAACAAAGGTCTACCAGGAAGGCTGGCAGGATGAAGGAGAGTGCAGTGGACTGGAGAGCAGGACTGAGTCAGGACACAGGCCTGGAGGAGGGGGAGGACCATCAGAGCTGGCAGTTATGCTGAGCTCCCAGGTGCAGCAGGCTGGAGTGATGGAGGAGAGCACAGGAAAGGACAGGTTCCCCACTTGGAGTCTGGGTGGGTCAGGATACAGGCAGGAGACAGGCCAAATCCAGGCAGGCAGGGAACCAGGAGTGAACAGAAAATGGGGGGAAGTTACTGAGAGCTCCTCCAGGAAACCTCTGGCTGGCAGTCCGAAGGTTCAGGGCAGGACAGGAACTAATATACAATGCCAGATTGCTGTGGAGAAGCCAAACAGGACTTAAATAACCCACAGTACCTGATGCAGGCTGATTTCCTATTGCATTCAGGTACTATGAGTATATTGTCTCCTCAGCAACCGGTGCAGGGAGGCAGAGGGGAAGAGACGTGGCCCACGGGCACACACCCCCCAGCTTTACAGCAGAGCCAATGTAACAATTGTAGCTCAGCCTTTTACATTTTGGCTTTATTGGCCATTGTTGTTCAGCTGTTTTACAAGGATGCCTGGGATAAAAGAAGTGACTGAGGAACAAACATATTTAAAAAATAGATCAGATAATGTATTACATTTATTGGTGAAAGAGCATAATAGCTGTCTTGTCTGCATGAGTTCAATGTTTGGAGCACATAGCTCTGAGTTAGCAATGGGAAACACTTCAGTTTACATGTATTTCAATGAAGTTAAATATTCAAATAGCTGTATAAAATGGTATTCCACAGTTCCAGTCCTGAAGGGTGGTCATCCATATGGTCTCTAGGACTTTGAAAAGCAGCTTTCACATTGTCAGATAAGCAGGTTACATTGGCCCAGTTTAACCTGAAGATCAGAAGAATGATCCTGAAGTTACATATTGGAAGCATTGAAGTACTTCTAATACTTCTTTTAGGCCGGGACCGAATTTTGGACATATAGTATAGCTGTATGTCCAAAACATACAGTTTGTCATATACTGTACTGTTGAAAACATCCCAAAAAGGTGTTACAGATGTTGTTCTTCTGTAGTACAGTATGTCCTTTTCATTAGAACAATACAATCCTATGATATCTTAGGATATGCTAAAGGTAGGAACTTGTGTTTAATGAGTTGAAATTTTGGATTGAATATTCAAATAAGACCCCAGTCTACTCAAAGGGCATTAAAAGGCACAGACTCAGTGTGGATTAGTAAACACTTTGTCCTCGACCTACATTTCTGCGTCTCTCTATGAAGTCACAGGAAAAAAAAATTGCAGTTTAACTAGAGTATATTTTTTCATGGTTAAGCTTTCTTTTTTTGCTACTCTAGAAGAAGGCATACAATTATATCCTCAATATTGACTTTATGGTTCACCTATAAAATAGACACCATTTCAATTCAAAACTGCACTTCATAAAGCTCTCAGCCATTGGATTCAAAAACTGGAAAGTATGCAAATCCTTGGTGTGTCACTGATTGGCTCGGCTCCTGGCAATGCTAAATTGGACCTGTGGCGGTGATTAGGTTGAGGAACTGTGGCTATTCAGTGACATCTGTGTCTGTCTTTCAGTTAATATTAAACTCCATTTTTTAAATGTAAACAGCGGCAATTGGCCTAACATGTAGGATTTAGGACCATTTTGGAGGCTCGACTGCAAGCAATGAATAAAGATTTATGCCACATTAATGGAAAAAATGCTACTTTTTGGCAAAGTACTCTTAAGATTCAAATAATATAGAGTTCATACAGTAATAATGAGAAATATTTGTAGGTTTCTACCGCTTCACTGGCATAATTCTAAAATTATTTTGCATGAACTGTTGTTCATAGTTTTAAAATAGCTAAAACGTAGTATATAAAAGCAGTGAAAACCTCATTCTGTAAAAATACAACTGAAATGCATTCAACCACTTGCCCATCTGACCTTTCATTGCATTAAATGGATTCCTTATCTGTAATAGGATTGTGCTGATAGTCGATATTCTTTAAGATATTCCTGTGTTTCAATTCAGAGAACAAAAGCTTTGGCAGAAGAAAGCCAAATGGCCAAAACAGAATGTTTTTTTTTTTAAAGAATGGGTTATTAATTTGCTTAAACACTGTTTCAGTTTCTGCATTTGAAAATATTCCACTCTTAATAATAATGATCACAAAGATAAATACAATTACAATATGGCTACTTACGAAATGTATTAAGTATTAAACAGAATCAGTGTGATTAAATTTAAGAGCACAAGATAAGTGAATTCCTGATGTTCAAATTATTTTATTTTCAGGCATTGTTGTGCATACACTGTATTTAATTTAAGGAATAATAAACTGAATTTAAAAGTAAAAGCACAAGATCGCCTTATTACATGATTGGTTGTTTGGACATTTACTGCTACTATTGTGTTTTACACTGTAATTAGGTACTTTGTTCTATACAGTTTGTCATCTTAAACAATTATTTCACTGTTATTCTAATATCCCTTGAAAGTATAGTGGATTGCCTGTCAAGATATTTCAGATAAGCTGTTTACATATTTTAAAATGACAACCACAGATGTTCATACTATGCATACTTTACCGTTAATTTCACATTGCTGTGCTTATGCTCAATCATAAATTCAGTGTATGTTGGAGATTTATTTTGAATTTTTGGTAGTAAAACATTAAGCTAATGTAAGGTTATTTTTCACTTTGCCTGTAGTTCTTCAACATTGCATTTAACTTAAAAGTAGAAATTACAAAACATGTTTGGGAATAAATATCATGTTTGCATTGTTTTTCATGGCTGAAGGTACTGTTTAATAAATTGTGAATTACCAGAGTGTACCAATTTAGTCATAAACCATAGGTGGAGCTATTTTTTTTTAAATAGTATATTTGAACGAAACAATACTGAACATTAAGAGCTGTTCAGTATAATTTTTTTTTAAAAAGATTTGGGGA